ATTCAGCTACCACTTACTGAGTATCTTCTGTGCACCAGAGTACAGTGTATCGGATACAATAAAGACCTAGACATAATCACTGTCTTTATGGAAGCTTACCTGAGAGAAGGCAAGCAAATGCTCTTTTGTGTGTCATGGGTGCAACATCACAAACAAGCATCCAGTGCAGAAGCGGCAGAGAGTAGTCCGTGAAAGTTTCCTGACAAGGGAAGGTGACAGTTGTGCTGGGTTCTGCATGATACGTTGGGTATATTCCCAATGGGGAAGGATTTCAAATATTTAAATGCCTAGAAGAACTACTATGGCCGGACCCCTCCCTAGGGCTCCTTCTCCCTTCTTGTAGGCCTATGACCAGCCCAGTAAGCATACCCACTGTTTCTCATCAGTGTTTCAGCGGAAGGCTCCAACAACGTAACTTGGCTTATGAAGCCTCAAGAGGCTCCAGAAGGTTCCAACCAACAAGGCGATTCCCTCACAAATGCCGAAGGAACTCAGAAATCCAATGGGGCGTCTAACTCTCCCAGGCAATGCTCTGGGCCAGATTTTATGATCCTGGCTTGTCAAGTGTCTACCCCATTCTTAGGGCAGAAGTAAAAACTAAGAGATGGATCAGTTCTCAGAACACACCCTCCCCCACTGGACACTGCTGATCCCAACTGGGCCTTGTCATCTAGCTGGAGACGGCGCACAAAAACATTTTGACTAGGGGGAAGGGAGTTGGCACAGTTTTATTTCCCATATGTTATGTTGGCATTTTAACAGCAAACATCTCTGAGATCGCGTTTGAAGGACTATTTATTCCATGTAATTCTATGAGCAAATAACTAAAGCACAGTGTTCCTCCAGGGTCCCTGGAAGCACTGCATCTACCAGAGGCTGTCATGACAAATGACCTATCAGGCTTCTAATTTCTCACAATGAGTTACCTGACATGCCCCTCAGTCACTGATCAACTAGGCAATGAAGGCACTCTTCTCGAACGCAGTGGAGAACAGCGTGCCCTCTTCTGGGTTAGGACCCAAGGGCTCAGACCCCAACTCTGACACAGGCACCTCTTCTGTTTCTCATCAGTGTTTCAGCAGAAGGCTCCAACAACGTAACTTGGCTTATGAAGCCTCAAGAGGCTCCAGAAGGTTCCAACCAACAAGGCGATTCCCTCACAAATGCCGAAGGAACTCAGAAATCCAATGGGGCGTCTAACTCTCCCAGGCAATGCTCTGGGCCAGATTTTATGATCCTGGCTTGTCAAGTGTCTAGAAACACAGAGGCTACAAGACATGAGTTACAGGTTTCATACAGTTTTAAGATGGTTCTGAAATGATATTGTCCTTCCCCCTTGAAAAGGCTCCTTCCGGGGTTCCTGCGGCACTGAGCTGCTTTTGCTGGAGTCTGCGAGCGCTGAGTGTACTGAGGTTGAAGCAAAGGGCCCGCCACCCAGGTTGTGAGCTGGAGTCAGCTCAGCCTCCACTGCCCACAGGCAAGAAGAGACGAACTGCACACCGGTAGCATGCTCACCACCCAGCACCTCAGAGCGATACTGAAATATGGCCTGTGTGCTTGCTCAGTCTCACTCTTTGCAAACGCATTTCCTATCCCAGCAACACTGAGGGTCAAAATGTTCATCTTTAGTCTAGACCCCCACCCCCCAAACACACACACACCACACATGCACATTGGTTAAAATCCTTTCCCTGCAACTACAATCACTTTTGTGAACTCCACTCACTAGCCACTTACACAGCTTTGTTACACACACCATGAGCATCTTCTGCCCAGCCCAACAGTGACACCTGCTGGAGAAACAGAAGTAAGCGCTGGCTCGTCAGCCCCTTTGACAGCAGATGCAACAGCACCTACTCGAATGAGTGATTCACACCAGAATGTTAACAGTCATTCAATTTATGAAAAGGCAGTGACCCTTGGAATATTTTGTAACTTACTTCCTTTTTTCAGTCAGCTGTCAGCCAATATTTAAGTATTTACAATCATTTAGGAAGATATCAAAAGATGTAAGAACAATGGGCCTGGTTAGGCGTACAAGGGGGAGCTTTCGGTTTTCTCAGAATTAACACACTGTACTATGTGTACATTTTAAAACAAAAAAATACACATACATATGCATGTAGCTGTTTACAGTAGGGTGACAAGATCCTTCCTACAATATCTATTTTTAAGCACTCACACGTTCTTTTAAACCATAAACACGTTAATACTTTTGTCATCAAAAAAATAATAAGCACCTAAAAACTTCGGGTGAGACTTTGCTAGTTCCAGAATATTAACAGTAAGTGGTCTATTTTATGAAGAATTCGCTGTGACTGTTCTGTGACAGCACTACAGTTCCCCAGATCACTCCACTCACATGTCAAACGCTCGGAAAGTGCGTGTGGCACCCCCACTGCTGCAAAAGCTCAGACAACACAGCTGTTGAGAGACACAGAAGGACTGACTGATGACGTAGCCTGAAAGTCAGGTGGGAGCGGCAGGTGGTGGTTGTAGATGAAAAGAGGTCAGCCAGGTAAGTGCTCAGAGTTTCTGAAGTCATGTTACACGTACACGGAAGTTCATTTATTATACTTTTCTCTTTACTTTTCCATATATTCGAAGAGTTCCAGAATAAAAAGTTAAAATAAAGGAAAAATCCATAAAAACAGTCCACTGAAAAAGGGGTTACCATATTAAATACCATCGAGAGCAGCTTCGAAAGCTCCAGCCCGCATCTGCAACCTACTTGAGAACCTTTACCAAGAAACTCGGCTTCTCTGAGCCTCACTTTCTTCAACTATCCGATGGGAAGCGTAATACCTGCCGTGCACAGTTGTGGTAAACAGAAATGTTTAATGCTAAGCATGAACACACAGTAGGCCCTAAGAAATTGGTACCGTTCAGTATTTTCAAGAGTAAAGTTTATTTTAAGCCACTCTGGTGTTTCTCAGAAGAACACTGGGGAAGAGATATTGGTAAAGCGAGAGTGACAACAGCTGACCCAGCGCACAAATGGTGCTACGGAAACAGGAACTGGAAGTCTTGTGAGCACAGTAACTGGAGAGAGTCCTTTCAATAAGTGTGTTAAGTGCCTTCTTTGTGTCCAGAACTGTACTTGCTACCTTCTCACTTCTTTTAACAAGGAGGAAGGTCAGAGTTCCAGGCTCCTAACATGGGCCACTGTGCAAGCCCAGAAAATATTCTGAAGCAAAGAGACTGGTCCCAGTCTGATGAGCACAGTAACCACCTCTACTACTCTGCCTTTCACATGCAACCAAGTCCCCCTACTCCCCACCTCAAGCCCTTAGCACCCACCTCCTGCCTTGCAGGTACCATGTCCTCTCCTCTCCTCCCCGATGCTTTATCCTCAAATCAAAAGGTCTTTCCGCTTTTCGAGACAAAGCCTTCCTTAATGATACTTCCCCCCATTCGCTGAAATCCAGCTTCATTCCATGAAATCTTCATTCCATAAAATGAAGGCACCCTGATCGCACAAGTTAATGCTGAGCTACTAGTCAAAGAGTTGATAGTTCAAACTCACTTATCTGCTCCATGAGATAAGGTCCTGGGTATCTGCTCCCCTGAAGAGCAAACTTGCTGCCATTAAGTCCATCCAGAGCAGAACTGCCTTTGTGGGTTTCTGAGGCTGTCCATTTTTATGGGAGCAGAAAGCCTCATCTGTCTCCCACAGAGCAGCTAGTGGGCTCAAACTGCTGGCCTTTCAAATAGCAGCCCAGGCGACTCACAGCCCAATGTGTAATGCACTACACCACCAGAGCCAGGAAACCCTATGGCATGGTGCTAGTCTACCACATCGGGTTGCTTTGAACGGGAGAATGACTTGACAGCACTCAGCAACATCGCCATTTAACGCAGCATTTGGTTGTATAACTTCTTACATAATCTCATCTGGGTCCATCTTAACCTCCACAATAATACCGTATATTCCCAGGGGGCTGAGACAACGTATGACACTGGTTTTGTAGTTCCCACACTGCCTAGCAAAGTGCTAGAAAAACTGTAATCATTCAAGAAACACTTATTTACTGGGAGACTATCTGCAGCATCTTCCCAAAATAACAAGTACATTATGTGTGCAATCCATATTCCCATCCTGGTTAGAAGCTTATGTCAGAGAAATCTCAGTTGCTTCACAGAGGATGTGAGCAGAGCAAGATGCTGTGTGGATCCAACAGGCATATTCTGGGAGTTGGTGATTACGCGAGATTTGACCTTTAGAGAATTACAGAAAGAAGTCCCTAATAAATCAAGAGACACGCGCACAAGTGAGTGGTGGGCGGTCAACTGCACCCACTTTCTTTCCTCCGTGGAAGAGCTGGCTGGGGTGCCAATCTGAGCATGGAGAGCCCTTCCTTCCATGAAGGCCTCTTCTTCCCCTTTCCAGGTGAATGTCCATCTGACAGGCCCATTCAAAGAACCTTACGTGCCATCTAAGAGATCTCTGGGAAAATAGGGCTTTCCTTAATATACACGTGTACACATGTGTATAGATGGACCCCTCCCCCTACTGCCCATCAAACTGCAGTGTTCCAAAAGGTAAGGGTGAGGAGGTGAACACAGCTGTCTAAATAAAGCAACACAATCAAAGAAAGTCAACATACCAATGTGTCCCAAACAGGATTCTCTTTGTCATTATTCTGAGGTGCTCTGGATAACTAATCCTACATACACAATCCCTCAAGGTCAAAATGCAGGGCAAAGGAAGTGAATGATTCTATCTCTGACCTAACCCAAACTCTCCTTTCAAGGCTAAAAGTTGCATTTGCTTAATCAGAAAGAGCTGGCAGAGTGCACTGACTCACACTGGTAGACCCCAGTGTTATCTCAGGCACTCGAGCAAGATTTTCTAAGCAGCAGCAACGGAAGCTAGGGAGATCAGAACCAGATGCGTGGGTCCCAGACACCCCAGATCCAGCCACAACATCACTGGGGCTGCAAAGAAGAGCTGGGAGAGGAAGAAGCAAGGAGGGAGAAGACAGCGAGTGCCTGCTTACCTCCTGAGCGAGTCTTCCTCTGAGCTTTCGTCAGGCATATCCTGATGTAAGGCCTCCTGTGGTACAGTTGCCGAGCGGCTGGACTGAGTGTAAATTCTCTCCCAGTGGCCGGTTTCCTGGTTAAAGGCCACCCCCACAGTCCTCTCTTCCTGCGGGCTGGCAGAGCTGCTCAACTCCAGCCTGCTGGAGCTAGGCGTTCGGCTCTCAGTCCGCTCAAGAGGTGGCAACTGGCTGCCACTTGCTGGCATGCCCTCAAAGGTGCTGGGAACCTGCCAGGAGGAGCTGGCCTCTCCCGAGGAATAGTTAGGGGTGGCTCTTTCCCAGCGCAGGGTGTCGTTGTTGAAGGTCAGGAGATTGTGACAAGCGCGACAGCGATTCAGGTGGCCACGGGACAGGTTCGAGTTGTTCTCACTGCTGTGAGGGGTGGGCTGGTGGGAGGGGCCGGGTCTCTCAGATTCGACATTATTGTTGAGCATTTCCTGGGCTGGCTGGGTGGGTGAGGCCTCTCCACTGAGGCTCTGGTCCAGCTCCTGCAGGCGGTCGTATTCCAGGAAGAAACGCCGGAGGTCACACTGAAGTTCATGGCGAATGCTGCCCGGATTGCTCTGGCTGGAGCCATTGCCCCCATCCGACTCGGCAGCCAGCCCCGAAGATGGAAAGCCCCTCCCTTCCGTGGCTGAAGTGTACACGGATGCCTGCGAGCCACCTTCCTGCTGCCTCAGCACAGACAGCAAACTCACCGAGGAGGCACTGGTTCTCGGTGGGGGCATGGACTCCGCCTCAGAGCGCGAGTTCAGACTGAGCACTGTCCGGGTCCACTCGGAGCCTGTCAGCGCGGGAGCTATTTCTCGGTGGTACCTGGAAGGGTGGCTAGACAGAGGGCCGCCCAGGGAGCGACGGGTGGGGCCCAGACTGAGGTTGCGGAGCGTGTTGCTGGCGGTGCTGCTCTGGACTGTACTGAAGGCTGACGGCCGGTTCAAGAGGCCCTGGTCCTGCTGCGTTGACGAGGCCTGCTCCGGGGGGTGGAAGGGCTCGGTCTGTACAAAAGAAAAGGAAGGGGTAGTAGCTCTGGCTGAAGCAGGGGGAGCGCTGTCCTGGTGTGGCAAGAGGGAAGGAACTCGAGTGCCAGCGCAGTGGCTGCAAAGGCACAGGATCCCAAGGTGCTGGCAGCACTCCGCTGGGGGGTGACTGACCCGCTGTCGGAGCCTGATGTAAGCGGAAGTCCTGGGGCGCTCTGTGGCGGACGGAGGGGGAGGCGGTGGGGGTGAGGGGGTGGCGGAATCTTGCACCGTGCTTTGCTCTCCCACCTGGATGCCAGAGGAACGGGAGGACAGCATGTGCAGGAAATTATGGAGGAGAGGCGTCCGGCGAACTGGCTGTGACTGCAGAAGAGCACGCTGGCGGTAGTGGGATAATTCTGTCCCGTCTATGGGAATCTCGGGCTCCTCATCACCCTGTAACATAGACAGGGCGGGGCGGGGCAGGGCAGGGCAGGGGAGAGACAGAGCATGGCGGTTAGGTAGAGCCATTAGGTGAAGCAAGGAAGCTAAGCACTGGTAACCATTTGAGGAGAGCAGTCTTCCCAGGCAGGCAAGAGCTCTTTGGCCTTAAAGCACTGAGAGCTAAGACACACTGGTGCCAGATTCCGGCATCATGTGCTATTCAATTATCCACCTTCAATTAGCAACACATCTGAATGAGTACAGCTGGCAAACCAGGTCTCTTACACAAGACACCTCCATAACACGGGAGGCAGTGAGGGGGGACAAAATGTCAACCAGCCCGAGAGGCACGGGACCGACAAGCCCTCCAACAGGGCCAGCCGACTTCCGAGTCATGCAGCCTCTCTGGGCAAAATTATGGCCGCTAGTTGGAATACATGGTCTGCAGCTAGCTTTGGATCTCGACTGGAAAGAAGTACTTGGGTATTGACACTTCAAGTCCCTCACAATCAGAACTGCAGCACGGATTTAGAAAGTAAGCCACAGGTGTAGATGACTTTGAAAATGCTGACTAACTTACCTGCTGATTAGAGGGGTTAACAATTGCTGTGAGTAAGTAGTGTCCAAGGGGATCAAATCTCACCAGACTGAAAGCACAGAAGACAAACAGAAGGGGGTTATCTTCACTGAGAGTAGAAAACTGTGTTCTCATTTTACTGACAAGTGGAGGATTGCCTAAGCATCTACTTTATGTTACAGGCGTTCCAAACTTTCCAAAAGATTAAAATAACACTCAATACTGCTGCTGCCTTACACTTGCCAGAGCAAAGGAATATGTATCACTAAAATAGCAATTTCACTTTTGAAAAATACCCAGGCTTCCATCCCAGGAAACAGCTACATTAGGCATGCCACTTGCCACACTGAAGAGGCCCTCATAATGATAAAGCGACACAACGTGGCCACGTCTGACAGATTCTGTCCCCTCTCACACAGCAGTTGCACTGTGGTGACAGTGCACACACATGTGTTCACACAACAGACTAAGCTGGATCAGCCTATATCCAACTGCAACACCATGAGAACCAAAAGGCAGCAAGTCATCAGCTGTGGTTCAGACGATGTGGGTTTGGACCTCAAAAGCAACTGGAAGACTTGATACAAGCTGATACCATCTTCCAGTTGATACACACAAACAGCCAGGGTTGAGCAAATACAACTAAATCTCTTTCAGGTTTCCCAAGAGAGGGCTTTTTTCCCCAAACCAGATGGCTTTTGACTTAAAATGGATTTTAACAATCCAAGACCACTGAGAATCGAAAGATGGGACCAGGACAGGGCAAGAGAAATGAATACAGTGAACTGTTTCCCAGCAGACTGTGCACGGATAACAGCAGATGTCTGTGTTCTCTGCCATGCTTGTCCTGTGCTAGACATTTGAGGGGGGAGGGGAGAATGTAAAGGCACTCACCGGACCCGCTCCATCTCACTAGCCGTCTTCACCACAGCAAAGGGCTCCCGTCGACTCCAATCCCAGAAGTGGATCTCGTTGGCAGTGGCAATCAGGAGCAGCTGAGCCGTCGGGTGGAAAGCCAGGGAGGCAATGGCATTGTTGCTATCTGTGAACCAACTTTCACTGCCACCCTATGAAATGGACCAATCCCAAATATTGTGATGTTACACGGAGCCAGCAAACAGGGCAAGATTCTCAAGAAAGGTCTGTTTAAAGCTAACTGACCACCTGTAGAACTACTTTAAACATTGCTGTTGTTGCTAAAGGTGCCAATGAGTTGATTCACATTCATAGCAACTTTATATATAACAGGATAAAACACTGTCCAGTCCTGCGTCATCCTCACAATTGTTCTTGTTTCAGACCATTGTTGCAGCCATGGTGCCAACCCATCCTGTGGGGGCCCTTCCTCTTCTTCTCTGTCCTTCCACTGTACCAAGCATGGTGTCCTTCTCCAGGGACGGCTCTATCCTGACACCATGTATGTCCAGAGTACGTGACACAAGTCTCGCCATCCTTGCCTCTAGGGAACATTCGACATATTTCTTCCAAGGTATTTTCAATATTCTTTACCAGCACCATAGTTCAAATGCCTTGATCTTTCTTCAGTCTTCCTTATTCAATGTCTAACTTTCACATGCTTAGGAGGCAACTGAAAATATCAGGGCTTGGGTCGGTGCACCTTTGCCCTCAAAATAACATCTTTGCTTTTCAACACTTTAAGGGGGTCTTGCGCAGAAAATTTACCCAACACTCTATGTCGTTTGATCTCTTGGTTCCTGCTTCTACGAGCATTTATTATGGGTCCAACCCAAGCAAGATGAAATCTTTGACAACTTCAATCCTTTCTCCAGCTTTCATGATGTTGCTTACTGGTCCAGTTGTGAGGACTTTGGTCTTGACATTGAATGGTAAATCCATACTGAAGGCGGCAATCCTTGATCTTCATCAGCAAGTGTTCCAGTCCTCCTCACTTTCAGCAAGCAAGGTTGTGCCACCTGCATATCCCAGGTTGTTAATGCTGAGGCCCTTCCTTCAATACTGAGGCCCTAATCTTCATAAAATCCAACTTCTCTGAGGAACTGCTCGAATACAGATTGAATAAGTATGGTGACAGGATACCACCATGACACACACCTTTCCTGATTTTAATTTTACTTATTTCCTGATTTTAGACATTGCTCCTGTCCTCTTTGCCCAACTGCTTCTTGGGCCATGTGTAAGTTCTGCAGGATCAAAATGAAGTGTTCTGGATATCTCATTCATTTGCAGTGGGTACCAAGACGGAGCTCTTCTACACCAGTTGGCCATAGTTTACGATTCACACAATCGAATGCCTTTGCACAGTCAGTGAAACATCTTTCTGGTATTCCCTACTTTCAGCCTAATGCAGCTGACATCAGCAATGATAATCCTTGCTCTACATCCTCTTCTGGCAGCTCCCTGTCAATGTACTGCTACAACTATTGTTGGATGATCTTCAGCAAAGTTTTACTTGCATGTGCTATCAATGATATTGTTCAATAATTTGTACCTTCTGTTGGGTCACCTTCACTTGGAATGGGTGCAAATATAGAGCTCTTCTAAACAGTTGGCCAAGTAGCTGTGTTCAAAATTTCTTGGTATAGATGAGTGAGTGCTTCTACTACCTCATCAGCTTGCTGAAACATTTCTATTAGTATTCCATCAATTCCTGGAGCATTGTTCTTGGCTAATGCTTTCAGTGCAGCTTGCACTTCTTCAGCAACATTGGTTCTTGCTTATACACTACCCTTTGAAATGGTTGAATACTGCCTAGTTCTTGGTACAATAACTGTATATTCTTTGCATCTTCTTTTGAGGTTTCCTCCATTATTCAATATTTTGTTCATACAGCCTTTCAATATTGCAACTCAAGGCTTGAATATTGTTTTCAGTTCTTTTAGTTTAAGATATGCTGATCATGTTCTTCCTTTTTGATTTTCTAACTCTGGTTCAGAAATGTTCTAAATCTAGGCTCAAAATACTTTAAATACATCCCCTGTAAACTTCATGTTAAGATCTGTGCTCTCTGGCGATGCTGCTCATCATTGATACAAGCGTTTCTGTTGGCTCAGTTCCCACCTGCACGCAAGGAGCATGCTCACGGTTCCTTCGGTGGCGCCTACAAAACTGCAGGCTTAGTGTACAACACAGTAAGTAGCAGCGCACCAGCCAGTCTCCAAGAACAAGGCCCTGTCCTAGTGGACAAGGACCACAACACAGGACAACCCTTGCTCTGAGACAAGAGAAACCTGAATATACCTTAAAACCTCCTATACTGAGTTGCAATGGCAAACAGAAGAACAGATCGATGAGCTGTTTTCTCTGGAAATCAGAACTCTGGACGGGACTTCTATCAGGTAAGTGGGGCATTGACCCCCATCTACTCAGATACAGCCCTAAGAACCTGGCTAGCCTTTCCTCCAGGATTAAGGATTTGATGGCAATAAACAAGTCTCTGCATTGAGAATACTCAAGAAAAGGGTGGCTTGAGGAAATACTTACATGTAAATCCCAAATCCTAACCTCCCCATCCAGGCAGCCAGAAGCAATAAGGCCTGAGATGGTGGGGTGAAATGTCACACACCACGGAGTGCGGCGGTGTCCGATCAGAGAGTGAACACATTTGCCAGTCTTCACCTCTGTGATGTAGATATTATGGTTTACGTGGGTGGAAGCCAGGAGAGTCCTAGGGAATCAAAGAGTAGGAAGTGAACTAAGAAGCATGTGGAGGCAGCCCACTTTATCAGCTCTGGACAACATAGAAAACCGATACTATGATCCCCCATCTCACCATGAAAGAAACGAAGCCATGGGCATTAGACAGCATTTCTACAAACAACAGAAACAGTCTGATCTTTAAAGGTGTTTGGCTTCTCCACACTGTCCGCAAATGACACACATCATCTTCAGGGAATATTTTTTCCAGCTAGGAAAATTCTCTTGCCACTGCAAGGAGCGGTTATTAAGAAACTCTCAAAGTTTTGTTCCTTACTGTCATTGTTCCCTCTGCTTATGCCCTTTATTTTTATGGTTAGCTTCGGGCATCCACTTTCATCCCCTTTCATCCACACTAGCAAAGGTCTGTTTACCCAGTGCTTCAGAGACCCTTTAGGAATTTGACGTTAAACTTAGAGCTAGGCCAAATATTCAAAAAGCAGAGCCATCACAAATCTTATGGTTAAGTTATAAATAAGTATGAGGTACCTGTCTGGACTGAAGGCCAGTAAGAAGGTTGATCGTGGACTATCTGGAAGTTCTACTCTCTAGGAGACCAAAGTAGAGACAGAAATTAGACTCACCCTATCTCAAAAGCACATGACCCATTGTAGATCAGTAGTCACAGGGTAGGCTTACAACCTGGAGACAATAATCAGGCTATAAAGTGAGAGGGACAAATCTACATTACCTTCTGGAAAATTATCTGGCTTGAGAAGGAAAAATATATTCTAGGCCATAAGCCTTCCCAAATTTATAGACAATTACCTACATGAGATATATACATTCTCTCCACAAGCTAAATGACACCCCAACTCCATCAATATCCCATTCTACCATCACCCCTACAAAGTTATGCCCAAAATATTCACGTTGCTTACCTTGCCCTCCCATTTCATCCACCGGGTTTTATCTTCCACCAGCTCCTGCAGAAGCCGCTGAGCCCCCAGAGCCCGAGTGCCCCGTTCTCGGCCCCACAGGATGCGAACAGCATTCTTCTCCGGGACAACCTTCATGGCGCTCAGTGGCCACTGTCACAGCAGGCTCAGGGAATAAGGAGCAAGCAATAGCTCCACACACTCTGAAGCAGCTAAAACGAGGCCATTCAGGTCCTTGTAAGCTGTCTTCATGGAACTCTAAGGAATGAAGAAAAATGTCAGATCTCCACTCTGCACCAGGAAAGCTTCCCACTGCAAAGACCTTTCTAGCTCAAAAAGGAACATCTTCCTTTCATGTTTAATTACACTTTCTGAGGAAAGATCCTGCTCCTAGAATTTTTTTCCACGGATATTTCATACTCGAATTCCTCTCAAATTCTCCATAGCCCCATAGCTCACCCTCATCTCTGAAGAAGGGAAAATTCTCTAAAGTCATTATTCTTTTATTATTCCCTTATCATGCAATAATTTTTGCTCCTAATAAAAGGATTACACATACCCACCACCTGGCCTCTTCTTCCATGACACACTGCTTCCCTAGTTGCAGGCACCCTTCTTTATCATGGGGACAGACTCACAGTAAAGGACAGGTAACCTGTTTGGATAGTCTACTGTTTAAGGTACAGTTCTTAAGTAGCAACTTCAATTCTGCCTCTATCTAAGAGCAAGTGCACAATAACTACCACTTCTATTTCTAACTTCACAGTGAAAGATAGGAAAGGATACCATTTTCCCTTCTCTCATATCCCACAAGCTTTAAGGACATAAATCTGTATCACATGATAAACAAATCTCCACTAAAATATCAACTAGCACCCATAAAACAAAGAATATATTATGGTTCCTCCATACAATGAAATATGCAGCACAACAAAACAGTGTTTCAAAAGAATATCTGCATATGTACAATGTTATTCAAATTATGCACCAGCCTCGTTTCTTCTACTCTATTAGTTTTTAAAATGTTAAATAAGCAAAATGTTAAAAAATAGTATAGTAAAAAAAAATTATACAGTAAACATGAACAAACTTCCCACCTACCCTTAAGAATTAATAAGAAACCAAACTCACTGCCAGTCAATGCCACTCAAGAATACTTAATATTTTGTCAAAACTTGCTTGACAGTAAATGCAAATGCTGAAAACAAAGAGGAAGGTTCCGAACCAAAATGCCCTGCCACGGAGTTAATTCCAACTCACAGCAACGTCATAGGACTGGGTAGAACTGCCCCTGTGGGTTTCCAAAACAAAGTCTTCAAGGGAGTAGAAAACAGCTTTCTCCTACAGAGTAGCTGGTGGTTTCAAATTGTGACCCAACCTGTAACCCATACGCCCCTAGGGCTCCTTGAAGAAAGAACAGTTAGACCTGTAAAATAACCCTCATTCATCTGTCAGTTTATCCCACTGTGGTAGCTTGCCTGTTGCTGTGATGGTGGAAGCTATATCACTGGTATTTCAAATATCAGGAAGATCACCCATGTCCAACTTTCACATGCATATGATGCATTAGAGAACACCATGGTTTGGGTCAGGCACACCTTAGTCCTCAAAATAACATCTTTGCTCTTCAATACTCTTAAGACAGTGGTCCTCAGCCTTCCGAATGCCGCGACCCTTTCATACAGTTCCCATGTTATAGTGACCCCCAACCATAAAATTATTTTCATTGCTACTTCATAACTGTTATTTTGCTACTGTTATGAAAAGGGCGACCCCGGTCAAAGGGTCGTTCAACCCCCAAAGGGCTCACAACCCACAGGTTGAGAACCGCTGCTCTTAAGAGGCATTATAACGCAGATTTATCTAATGCAATGTCTCTTGATCACTTGACTGCTGCTTCCAAGAGCATTGATTGTGGATTCAAGCAAGACAAAAATCATTGACAGTTTCAACCTTCTCTCGACTGATGATGTTACCTATTGGTCCAGCTGTGAGAATTTTGGTCCTCTTTACACTGAGTTGTGATGCATACTGAAATAGGCAAGGATGTTCTTCATCAGCAAGTGTTTCAATTCCTCCTCACTTTCAGCAAGCGAAGTGGTGGCTTCTGTGTACCACAGGTTGTTAATAAGCCTTCCTCTGATCCGGACGCCACATTCAATACTGACGCCATATTCTTTTCCATATAATACAGCTTCTGTGATGATTCTCAACATACAGATTAAACAAATATGGTGAGAGGATACAGTCCTGAAGCACACCTTAACCAGAGAGCATGCCCTTTGTTCTGTTTGCACAACTGCCTTTGATCCATGTACAAGTTCTTCATGAGCACTGTGTTTTGGAATTCCCATTCTTCTCAAAGTTATCCAGAGTTTATTATTGTCCACAGCCAAATGCCTTTGCATAATTAATAAAACACAAGTAAATATCTTTTTGGTATTCTCTTCTTTAAGCCAAGAACCACCTGCCATCAACAATGATATCCCCTCTGAAGTCCTCTTCTGAATCCAGCCGGAACTTTTGGCAGTTCCCTGTCAATGTACTGCTTCCATCGTTCTTGGATGATGTCCAGCAAAGTTTTACTTGCATGCGATAGCAATGATACTGTTCTACAGTCTGAACATTCTGTGGGGTCACCTTGCTTTAAGACTCAGTCTGTATGTGGAGCAAATAATCCCAGACACTGAACTATATGAAGAAGAACATAACATCAGGACTAGAGAAAGGCTCAATAACAACCTGGCAAGATGCATATGACAACCTTGCTTGCTGAAGGGAAGAGGCCTGATGATGATCAAAGATCATCACAGCCTTCGGTATGGATTACATTACAACTCAATATAAAGAAAACATGAATTCACAACTGAACCAAACAGACAATATCATGACACACACAGAGGAGATTGCAGTTTGTGGATTTCATTTTACTTGGATCCACATCAATACTCAAAGCACCAGTCAAGAAATCAAATGACATATTTCACTAAGCATATCTGCTGCACTCTTTAGAGTGTTTAGGAGCGAAGATATCACTTTGAGGACAATGTTGTGTCTGACCCTAAGCAAGGGTATTTTTTCATCACCTGATATGATGAACAATGAATAAGAAAGACTGCTGAAGCACTGATGTATTTGAATTGTAGTGTCGGCAAAACAATATTGAAAGAACCACAGACTGCCAGAAGAACAAACAAATCTTTTTCTTGTTGGAAGTACAGTGAGAATACTCCTTAGAAGCAAGGATGACAAGATGTGAAACCTTGGATACTTTGTATATATTATTAAGAGAGGCTAGTCCCTGGAAAAGGATTATCATGCTTGATAAAGAGTTGCCAAAGAAGAGAAATGGATAAACATATGGTTACAACAATGACTTCAAACATTACAAGTATGAGGCCAGTGCAGGACAAAGAGCTTCGTGATGTGGGACATAAGGCCATTATGAGTAGGAATGGCACCTAACAATAGCAGTATGCTGGTGAAATAAGTCAATCACAAAAGGACAAATGTTGTATAAAACCATACTATAGAGTCATGAGTTTTTTACACAGAAAGAAACATTCCTTAATGGTTATCTGGTGGTGTAGTGGTTATGCATTGGGCTGCTAACAGCAAGGTCCGCAATCTGAAACCACCAGCCACCAGGGGAGCAGGTAATGAAAGACAAAGCTTTCTATTCCTGTAAACAGTTATAATCTCAGAAACTCACCCGGGAGTTCTACCCTGTCCTAAATGGTAACTCTGAATGGGTATCAACTCGAAGGCAGTAAATGTTTTTAAGAATGGGAGGAGAAAATCAGGAAAATCACTAACCTGAGAATAGATACATATGAACTTGGGTGAAGGGAAAGGCAATAAACCATAAGAGAGAGGTCAACATAACATGATCAAGGCAAAGAAAGAAACTGGGAGGTATATGCACATATTTTCACACAGGCTGAACAGGTAAAGGGCAGCATATGGGCATAGACCCACAAGTATGTATGTATATGTATGTACACACATGTATATATTTGGCAGAGGATATTTCTACATGTTTGTATAAACGGAAAATATGTGCCTGTATATTACAGAACATACAAGGGGCAAAGGTGTACAAAAGCATCTTTGTCACAGCTAAACATCTTAAAAGAACAAGTCACTGGGTTTGGAGAACATCTGGGTCACATGGCATAATACAGTCAAAAGCAATGTTCTCCATCCTTTAATGAGTAACAACTGGGGTCTTTAAAGCTCGCAAGGTGTCATTTAAGAGGCAACTACTAGTCTCTCCTTATACAGAGCAAAGAAGAGTGAAAAAGCAATACACACACACACACACACACCCAAAGATTCAAAGAAACACGTAGGCTAAAAGACTAATAGGCCCACAAGAACCACAGTCTCCACTAGTCTGAGACCAGAAGAGCCAGGTGTGCAAGGCTACCACTATGACCCACTCGGATAAGGATCACAATAAAAGGTCCTGGGCCAGAGTAGGAGGAAAAAATGTAGAATAAAATTAAAAGCATTAAAAAAAGAGACCAGTTTGACTGGTTTGATAGCACTGGTGGAACACCCCCAGGACTATGGCCCTTCTGTACCCTTCATATCTAGACATGAACCCACCCCCAAGATCATCTTTCAGACAAGCAATAGACAGACCTAGAAAGTGAGCAGTTCCTGAGAAAACCATGTTTCTCAAAACAAAATAGCAGCCAAAAACAAAGTTCAGAAAGCAGAAATAGAAAAGAAGGAAAAAAAAGGAAGGACAGATTAAAAGAGGGAATCCGAAACCCCCCTCTACCTAACTCACAATAAACACACACACACCCCACCACCACCACCCCCAAAAGAGGAATTGGGAAGAACACTGTTACAATGAGGGAATTACAACTATGTTGTGATACAAAATGTGTAACAATTATTGAATGGGAAACTACAGTGCTATAAACTTAAAATCAAACAACAATAAGACATTTGAGATAGTTAAGGTTTATTGTGCCAACCTGGCCAAAAAACACGTGGGGTTAATTGAAGGGCGGAGAGAGAATTGGCCCAGTGAGCCTCGCCCTTTTTGTTCTCTGGTCTCTTATTCTCTAATGGTCCGACCAGTGTACGGCTGCCTTGGCTGGGAAGAATCACTTCCTGCAAGACATCTCTGAGGAGAAGCCACATGGACTTACCCTGATGCAGCCCTGGGTGCTGGGGAAGCCGCGTGGAGACCCCTGACAGCGCTGAGATGCTTACACTGCCACTGGATTCACAGACTTTCT